ATATATATAGACAGATTCAGGTGAGAACGGGAGCACATTAGAGGAATGAGAACCAATCACAGTCGTTTATCTGTCCAAGTCTAACGGATCAGTTGTAATTTAAAAAAATACAGTTGCATTTTTGTAAATAACTCAAACTTTGGTCAAAGAAGTTGTTCTGTCTGTTGGGTATGGACATTGAGAGGATACATGCATGTCCAAATGATTGTATTGTATTGGAAAGAATACAAAGACTTGCATGTGTGTCCAAAGTGTGGGTCATCACGTTATAAAAGGAAAAATGTTGATGATGTGTGTGAAGATAATAAAGGTTCACCAGCGAAAGTATTATGGTATTTACCGGTGATACCAAGATTTAAATGCATGTTTGCTAATCCAAGGTAATGTTGAAAAAGACGCTAGGTGCCCCCTAGTGGGTTGCCAGATTTATATAATTTTAATTTTAAAAATTTTTTTTTTAATTGACGCGTGAATGCGTACAGAGCTATTGAGATTTGAGATGCGTGATTGTTGTTCCCAAAAAAACCTCTGATCCACTGACTTGGGATACCAAAAAGCATTCCATCACCATCAACAACCTCAACCCTCTAACCTCTCTCGTCTCAACCCTCTGATCTCTCTCAAGTTTGAAGCCTCAAGACTCTCAACCCTATTTTCTCTATCAAATTCTCAATCTTTAAGTACTATAAATTAGAAGCCCATCTCTCAACCTGAGCCGGCGACTGGCGGAGACGCACTGCAGATTCGCAGCGGCAACTGGCGGCGACTATATAGGCGATTGCATGGGGTGGCGGAGGTTGCAGATTGGTAGCCGGCGACTAGCGACTACCCCCCCTGAGCAGGCGGCTGCAAAATCTTCTGATTCTTCTTCCCACCTTCACATCTTCTAAGTCGGTGACTACACCCCTGAGCCGGCGAAATCGTGATTCTTCGCGCATAAAAAAAAATGGCTCCAGCTAGGCGGTCTAGGCTCTGCCTAGACTGCGTAGGTGGCAGGCCGCGACCCAAAACTAAGACATCCAGCCGATTCACCACAATGGAGGAATATTGATAGGAGGTGGCCTGAATTCGGTACTAAAAACAGGAATCTTAGACTTGGATTGTGTACTGATGGAATGAATCCTCATAGTAACATGAGTAGTTGATACAGTACTTGGCCTATCCTTTTAGTAGTCCACAGTCTTCCACCTTGGTTGTGTATGAAGCGGAAATACATCATGTTGTCGTTGTTAATATCAGGGCCTAAATAGTCAGGAAATGACATAGATGTATATCTAGCGCCACTTATTGAAGATTTAAAGATGTTGTGGAATGAAGGTGTGCCGGTGTATGATGCTTATAGTCGAAGCAATTTTACCTTACGTGCAATGATCTTTTGCACCATAAATGATTTTCCAGCTTATGGTAACCTATCAGGTTATACTACTAAAGGAGCTAAGGTATGTCCTATTTGTGAAGATGAAACTCCGAATTTATGGTTGAGTAACAGTAAAAAGAATTTGTTCATGAGTCATAGGACATTCCTCCCAATTGGTCATCCTTATCGAAAGAAGAAAAAAAACTTTCAATGGAAAATTAGAGACTTGATGTTTGCCTTTATCTGGACATGCGGCTTATGAACGTGTTTAAAATGTTGATGTTGCTTTTGGCAAAACTTGTAAGACTACTAAGAAGACTCTCTGGAAAAAGATGTCTATATTTTGGGATCTACTATATTGGGAGCATTTAGCAGTTAGACAATGTCTTGATGTGATGCATATTGAGAAGAATGTTTGTGACAACATTATTGGAACACTGCTAAACATTCAGGGGAAGACAAAAGATGGTACTAAAGCTATAAAGGATATGGTTGACATGGGAATACGGGAGAAGTTAGCACCACAAGAATCAGGAAAAACGGACATACTTACCTCCAACTTGTCATACTTTGTCCAAAAAAAGAGAAAATAAGTTTTTGTGCTTGTTTAAATGATGTCAAGGTTCCTTCTGGTTATTCATCGAATATTAAAAAATTTGTGTCAATAAATGACCTTAAATTAGTTGGCATGAAGTCTCATGATTGTCATGTATTAATGCAGCACGTGTTACTTGTTGTTATTCGAGATATATCAGACCCTCTATCTTCACAATCTTCTTGTGCTTCTGTTAGCTCGTCATTACTTCCGATAATCGCAATTTTTACTGAGTACGGGCAAGAGTTAAGAAGTTAAAAGAAGGAAGTTATTACATTCTAAATGAGAAAACACATGAGGTGTTTCATAAAATTGTAAGTACTATTTTTTAAAAATTGTTATAAGAATATATAATATTCATAAAAATACTAATACTTGGCTTTATCTTATTGATTGGAACAGATAGAAAAATGTGATGAAGTTAGTCAATGGACATTTCAACGTAACTGAACAGACTTCGTGACATATTGTCAGCAGCTCTTGGTAAACTAGAGGATAAACGAGGTTCGGGTACTGTAAGAGGAGTTTGTTCATACTCCACCATCCGACAACTCTTTGGTAAACTAGAGCAAAAACGGGGCACACCGAGTGGGCTTATTTCTATTGATGATGATGCCTAAAAGATGTTGGAAAAGTGCAGGTAAGCCACATTGTTAGAGGTGCAACCCAAGATTGAAATTCTCACCCAACAACTCAATGTATTGATGAAGAACATGTCAGCCACACAAGGAGTTTCGGTTGGCACTCCTCAAAGTGCTTATGGGCCTTATGATCAACCTCCAACCCAAAGCAGCTGTCATTCGATTGATGTATATCCAGTAACCACAATTAAGGTAATATTAACAGTAGAGCTGAAAAAAGTGTAGCCTTACACTATGTGATCTTGATGGCAAGCCATATGTTGTTGCAATGGGTACAATTTACCCAACTACAAATGAGATCACAATAGTGCATAATGAGCCACTATTACCTATCCATGTCAAAGTCATGGTCAATGAAGTGGTTCATGACTTCATGGTGCAAAGGGATGTAATCTCCCAGTGCCAACTTTGTAGTATAAGACTTTGGAAGATATTACTTGGAGTCAATCACAATGACTTACTCATTTAGTTATTTTGGATGAGGTATGCATTCTTATATTAGTTATTAATTAAGTTAAATATCGTTGGACTATGTGGTCTAATGGTACCCGGGTTGGACTTTCATTTGGAAGATTATGAGTTCAAGCCTCCGTGGAGGTGTTATTGGTTCATTGTGTTTTAGTAGGTTGAGAAAGTATATGAACAGATACTACAATGTAATAGAGCCAGCAAAAAAAAAGTTAAATATCGTTGTTTATATTTTAAATGTTAGTATAATTACAATTTTATATTGGTAGGAAAATGTCAGAATCGAACGCTGCATCGATATTAAAATTAAAGAAACCAGTTGGAGGAGTAGTCTAATCTACCGTGCTGACAACCTGAGAAGAGGGTACATGGACTTGATTCCAATCATGAAGGAAGGAATTTGTTTTGTCAACAATGCTTTTACCTGTAGAAAAGAGGCTGACCCATATTTTTTAATTTCTTGCCACAAGTTCTAACAAATCATAATGAAGGAGCAAACTTGGTCCTTCTGCAGCTGCCTAAAGATTTTCATAAACCAGTCAACCATATTCTGTATTGGTGTAGTATCCAGTTGATTATTGAAGTATGATAATATAAAAGGGTAAAAACTAAAAAGGCCACTAAAATCACGCTTCTTTGTTCTCTCTGCCAGTCTACCTCGCACTCAATCGTCTTAGCACTCAGGAAATCCTGAAAGGCCGTTTACTTCGTTTCTCTATTTTTTTTCTTTTCTATTTTTTCATTTTTTCAGTTTGTATATGTGGGTATATTTCATTCCCTTATATAAAAAAAATAATCAAAGGGGAAAACGGATGTATATCCCCTTCCCTTATAAAAACAAAAAACCTTCTTTTTGGCTAAGCACTAATCACCTGTGTTTCTTCGATTTGGAGATGTCAAAATCTTAGGTTGGAATCACTTTTACAAATGGGCCCCATTTGCAAGCTGATGTGGCTAATGTCACATCATTTTTTTTCTATTTTTATGAAATGGGTTTGCAAATTTGCAAACTCTGAACAACTACGGCAGCTTTTGTACTTTTTTTTATTTTTATTTTTTTACTTTTCAATATATTAATATAATTAATAATGTTATTTTAATATATTGGACTCACTTTTAAAAGTTGATTAGATTTGTAGAGATATAATATAAATAGTAGATAATTTATAATGGGATGATATAGAAGTGAGACTCATTTTAAAAAAGGAAAAATGACACTTTTTCCTCCTGTGTTATATGCTTATAGCACTTTTTCCCCCTAAGTTATTCATGCATCCACATTTGCCCCCTTAATTATTATAAAAGTGGCAGTTTTTTCCCCTGATAATATTAAATGGACATTTCTACCCTTAAAATAAATATTTTATTTATTTATCTTCTTCAACAAATTATTGCTTATACTTAGGGATGACCACGGTTCGGTTCGAACTGAACCGAACACTATAGCAATCAAATAAAAAAATTTCGGTTATAATTCAGAACTACTAGTAATAGCTTAAAATTAGAATTATAATATTTACAAATAGTGTATGTTTTTTTTTTTTTTCACATTTATATTGACTTTCACATATAAGTATATATAATCGCGATTTGGTTTTTATTTTGAATCGTCGGTTCACGATTTCGGATCCAATTTGAACTGTTGGTTCAAACTTTATTTTAAAATTTTATTTTTTATTTTTAAAGTATTCGAAAAATTCAAAAATTAATGTATTTTATTTTTTCAAATCGTGATTATAATTTGTTGGAAAAGAAAAATAAATGAAATATTTATTTTAAGGGTAAATATGTCCATTTAATATATCAGGGAGAAAAACTGCCACTTAAATAATTTAGGGGGGAAAAGTGCTATAAGTATATAACACAGGGGGAAAAAGTGCCATTTTCCCTTTAAAAATGAAAGAGATTTACGGGATAATATTAGCCTTCTCAGAAAAAGTACATAAATTCGAACACTAGAGAGGAGTATACAACCCCTAAATCCCTAACCTTGGTAAACAACCCCTAAATCCCTAACCTCACTCTCTGCCTCTACCTCTCGCTCTCAGTCTCAACCCTCGCCGGAGGTCGGAGTCGACGCGCTCGTCTTCTCAGTTCTCAGGTAGGCCTAGCAGCTCGTCTTCTCAGTCTTCTCAGTTCTCAGGTAGGCCTAGCCGCTCGTCGTCTCAGTTCTCAAGCAGTCAAGCAGGCCTCGCCAAGTCGCCGCTCGTATTCTCAGTTCTTAGGCCTCGCTGGAGCCTGGAGTCGCCGGTCTCTGCTCCTCTTCGCCTGACTCTGTGACTGACGCCCTTAAATCTCTGAGTCTCTGGAACTCACTACTCGCTCGCGGCTTGCCCTCAAATCAAAACCTTTCATTCTTTCAAAGGTAAGTTGCATACGGCATACTAATTTGATAATTTCTAATTTTCTATTTGAGTATTTGCTCACTTCGATTTATTAAAAAAAATCACACGAATTTAATTTTATGTTGATGATATTTTGCTGATGAATGAAGATTTAAGATTGAAGCATGATCAATGATGACTTGATTTTGTTGAATTGAATGTTGATGAACTTTGGTTGTTGGAAACTTGGACTGTGTTATTACTTTGTTTTTTTTTTTTTTTTTTTTTAATTATTGAATGTGTTATGAAGTTATGACTTAATTAACTATGGCATTGGCACTTTGGCAGTACGAACTATTTAGCACTTTGGCTCTTGGCAGTTTCAAACTTGTAATGGTAATTTAGTATTGTATGTTTACTATAGAATTATTTAATCTTTATGTGGATGCTACACAGCCTCGTTTTTCGGTTACCGAAATAACCGACCATTATAAGTGTATGTTCGGTTGGTTAGGTAGACTAAAAAAATACCTTCGGTTATTTGGTTATCGGTTGGTTATTAACCGTAACCGACCGATGCTCACCCCTAGAATGGGGTGGGTATTTGGGGGCAGTGCCCCATTGCCATTCCTATTGTACTCCTTGAGTACTTGCTATGCAAGCATAGATTTGATAATTAGATTCGTGTAGAGAATTTTCAAGACAGCCTCCAAGCATGCCAGGGAAGCCACATGTGCCATCTTTGCCGGAAATTATTTCTCTGCAGCTTGTAGTTTCTCTCAAACTCGAAGCTCTTCTCTCCTTAGCTATACATAAATTAAATTTGTGTTACATTAATGGATGAATAATTGGAGTATTTTGTTTATAACATTTTAGACAATTGGCCATTTTGATTATCTTCTAACTAGCTTTGAAATCAGTCATAAGAAAGGATGAAAGTCGGGAAATCATTCAGCTTTAAGGTGAATCAATGAAAGCTTCAAGATTTAAGGTCCAACATTAGTTTTAATTTGAGCTGTAGTAGTAATTGTGCAGTAGAGTGGGCACTAAAATTAGGATATATGAAATGAAATGTTTAACTTCATTTTAGGAGAAGATATGGTGCTAATAGAAGTATATATATATATGGATAAAGGCAGGGACGGAGGGAGAGGGGGGGTGGGGGGGGGCGGCTGCCCCCCCTCACCCCACCCCCACCCCTATATAGTATTTGTATGTATATATGTATATATAGTATATGTTTTAGTATTAGTATAAAAAACTATAAAATATTAACAAGAAGTGAGTTAGAGTAGGTGGTAGAGTACAACTTTGGTAATAATGAGGTTAAGGGTTCCAATCTTAGCATTAACATTGTTTTACAATTCTTTTTTAATAGCTTTTTTAATATTACACACACTCTATAATAAGAAGTGTAATTTATAATGTGTTTTCTATTCAAATTATTTTATTAATTATGTTTCATATTTTGTTATGAATATTTTTATAAAGTTTCGATGTGTTTTATTTTTCGTCCATATCCTACAATATTTACAATTATATTTCTTATGTAGTTTATTTATTTATTTTTAAATTATCTCTTTTGTTTTAATGTTTCGCCTTTTCTTAAAAAATTTTCTGAATCCGTCTCTACTGTTTCGCCCCCCCTCAACCGAATTTCTGGCTCCGTCTCTGGATAAAGGGGAAATAAGTCTTAATTGAATTTACTTTAAGTAATTAAATAGTAGAAGTATATATGTGTGTGTGTTGCATAGGCAGCATAGCACAACTGGTTGTGAAGAACAAGAAGTTTTAGATGCAATTCATATGACAAACAAATCTGAATTGCCGGAAACAGTTCTTAAAGAAGGAAGCATAATTTTCAGCAGAATCTCAGAGGATATATGTATTAATTGACACATTTTGTTTGCTTGTTCTTCTTTCATAGATTTTGTTGAGCCACTTTAATCAATATATAAGGGAACCTGTAGTTAAAATGTTGCAAGTTGGGCTTCTTAGAAATGTTCCATTACCTGGGATGGCTTTTCAGGTTAAATATCCGCAGACCTACAATATGCTTTGGTAGAAAATCTGCTTGTGGTTAGATGACAGTAGAAGTTGTAAAAGAAAAGCTGTGGAAAAAGTGTGGTACTTCTGTTGGTTCAATGACATTGAGGAAGAAAGTTGTGTTAGGTGTTTGTCTGATTTTTGGGTAAGAAAGAGTGAAAAGTGATGTGGGAAATGATTTTGTCCATTTGTTTAAACTAGTGCATCATTTTTTATATGCACTCAAAGAATGCCTTTACCATCTGTACCTTATAAAATGCATAAGGGAGTAATTTGACAAACTTTATAATCAACTTTTGGCTGCCATTAATATGATGCTATGTTAGGTATTTTTCTTTAAAACAGCTGCTTGAAGTTTTTACTATTCAATTATAGCTTAAAATTTAAATACTTACCAAAACATCATTTTGTTGTGCCCTAATAGCAATATGATCTGAGAAGTGGCTATTATATAAAATGTTCTTTTTTGTCAGGACGGTTAGTTTCCTTAAGAATGGGAATGTTAGAGAGTTTGTAACATGCTTTTAATGCTATGAAGTACTACAGCATGATGTGCTCTGAATAATTAACACCATCCAGTTGTTACATGTGTGATTTTGACCTGCAGCTATGGTAGGGTTATCTGTAGGAGAAAAGAACTTCATTAAAGGTGGTATTGCTCAAGATTTGCGAACAGATGGTCGGAAACGATTAGCTTATCGACTCATTTATGTTGAAATTGGGGTCATCCCTCAGGTATTGTATTTCTGATTTCAGTTACAGTAAGTTTTTCCTCTTTTTCCATTATATATATATAGAGTTAATACCCAAAATCGTCCTCAACTATAGTGGTTTTTCTCAATTTCGTCCTAAACGACTTTGGTGACCTAATATCCTCCCAGACTTTTGTGTTTCGCTCAACTTAGTCCTCCATTTGTTATTCCGTCAAATTGGTGTTAAATTAAGGGACAATTCAGTAATGTCAATATTGATCTCTCTTTACTTTCAACTTGTGAAGTGCGAAATTCCCTTTTCTTGTACGAATTACACCCAGAATTACTCCCGGACCTACAAATCAAATTTTATATTCGCAGTTTTAGGAGTAATTCGTAAAAAAAAAAGGAATTTCGCAGTTCACATGTCTATGAGTAAAGAGATGCCAATATTAAAATTACTGAATTGTCTATTTATTTAACACCAAATGGACAGAATAACAAATGAGGGACTAAATTGAGCAAAAACACAAAAGTCTGGGACTAAATTGAGTGAAACACAAAAGTCTGGGACGATATTAGGTCACCAAAGTCGTTTAGGACGAAATTGAGAAAAACCACTATAGTCGAGGATGATTTTGGGTATTAACTCTCTCTCTCTCTCTCTCTCTCTCTCTATATATATATATATATATATATATATATATATATATATATATATCCTTTAAGGCACCTGAAAAGTAATTTCATAATTTATTCATTCTTTTAAAGGCAAGTGGTTCAGCAAGAGTCAAGATGGGCGCAACTGATGTCATTGCCAGTGTCAAGGTACTTTGTTGGACTGAGCAGGAAAAACTTACTCCTCGTTTCGAATGAATTACTGTTAGTTAATTACAGAGTATTTCTACAAATTGTGGTTTACTCTTTTTATTTATTTATTAGGGGTGAAACCTTGGTTTTTATGCCGTTTGTTCTTCTGTTTGCAGGCTGAACTTGGAAAACCAAGTCCATCTTACCCCGACAAGGGAAGGGTTTCTATTTATGTAGACTGCAGTTCCACAGCAGAGCCAACTTTTGAGGTTGCATAAATCAATTTCATTGACTTTGAATCATGTCTAAATAAAAACTAACAATTGATGTTGAATCATGTTCATATGTTATTAGTGATTTGTTCAATATGTTATTCACTGTTGAATTAGATGCAACACCGTACTTATGTTGATATTTCCCTCATTCTTCACATTGTCAAGCTTATCCTTCTTGTTACCATTTCCTTTAGGGCAGAGGGGGTGATGAGTTGTCTGCAGAACTTTCAACAGCTCTTCAGCGGTGTCTGCTTGGTGGAAGAAGTGGGGCAGGTATGTATACATAAACCAACACAAGGTGCCTTGGATGTTTGGTCTCGTAAATGCCATCAAGCACTGGAAAGGTCTGGCCAATGAGCCGGAACTATTTGCTCGTATTTTTGTTAATAATCTAATGGTTCTAAATTTTACTGCAGGGGCTGCAATTGATCTTTCATCTCTCTCAGTTGTGCAAGGAAAAGTTTGTTGGGATCTATACATAGACGGTCTTGTGGTCAGTGCAGATGGGAATATACTCGATGCCCTTGGTGCTGCAATTAAGGTATATTCAGCTTTTTATTCTTTTATTTAATTAAAAAGTGTTACTGGAAAGGAAGAAGGTTTTTCTTTTTTACCAATTCTGTCTTATTGACAAATTTAGCGTTTTAAAAATAGTAGTGTAAAGAATAATCATGCTACAGAACTACACATTTGACGTGACAGCGCTTCTGCGCACATCACTTTACTGAAAAGGACAGATTAGGTGGTAGTTCAGTCTATAGGGCTGATTGCATTTTTGCATTGTTGTTCCAGGCTGCCTTGAGCAATACATGTATTCCCAGGGTCCAAGTATCTGCAGATGCTTCGTCTAATGAACAGCCAGAAGTTGATGTGAGTGATGAAGAATTTGTACAATTTGACACTAGTAGTGTCCCAGTTATAGTCACTTTGACAAAGGTAACCGAAACTTTTGATTTCAAGGTCTCTCTTTTCATCTTCATCATCATCATCATTCCCTGGAACAAATTTGCAGGTTGGAAGGCACTGTATTGTAGATGCGACCTCAGAAGAGGAATCTCAAATGAGCTCAGCAGTGTCTATTTCAGTTAACAGGGAAGGTCATGTGTGCGGGTTGACTAAACGAGGTGGTGCAGGTTTAGATCCAGCTGACATTCTTGACATGGTAAACAAAGCGCAGGTTGTGGGCAGTGAGTTAATAAACGATTTGGATTCTAAGATAGCTGCTGCCGAAGCGTGTGAGGAAGAGGAATCATGACACCATTGTTCATTGATTTTATGGGCAATTAGACAGTCACTAACTTAATTCAGATCCCTCATTTTTGTCGTTGATTGTATTCAAAGTGCTCTTTCATTTTCTTTTTTGGCGATTGGAGACTGAATATGTATTGTAGGCAGAAGCTTTTCTTTATCATCCTTACATGCTGTAGGTGTAACAAACCACATTTTAGTTTTCATTCTATCATATTAAGAACTTGAAGTTTGGCTCATGATGCGTTCTATCAACAGGGACTTGAAGCTATGTTAGGAGGTCAATGTTATGGAGCTTTGAAGGCCTGAAGCAATTGTTATACTTTGTGGACTATTGTTTAAAATGGTGATGTTTCTTTTAATGAAAAAAACGACTTCAGTTGCGATAAATCAATTTTAAGGGGCCGTTTGGTTGACGGAATGTTAGATTACCTTAGGAAATGTTGGATTACCTTAGGGAATGTTAGATTGCTGGGAATGTTAGATTACTGGGGATGTTAGATTCCTTTGTTTGGTTAAAATTAAGGTATGTAATATAATCATGTTTGGTTTAGGGTTATCTTTTATATATATATATATATATCCTTAACATATTTTCATATATTTTAATAAATTTTAAAATTAAATTAATTAAATAAGATAACGGTATCATATATAATTACATGATTTTAAAATATTAACTAAAATCTTAAATTTGAGAAACAAAATTATTTTATATGCTAACATAACGTAATAAAAAAGATATAATATAATTACAAAAATAATTATATAATAATAATAATAATAATAATAATAATAATAATAATAATAATAATAATAAGCTAACATAAAATATATATCTTTAAATAATTAGAATTAAAATGACAAGATTTTTAAATATCCAAGGTTATCTTACATTACCTAACAAAATGAAGGGAATCACATTCCCTTCAAAATCCTATATGGAGGGAATGTTGTATTCCCTGGGAATGTTATATTCCCTCAGAGAATATGAACCAAACATAGGAATGTAAATTTGAAAATGTCACATTCTCTTGATTATATAATATAACCTGAAGTCCTGAACCAAACCCCCTAAGAGTTTTCTAGCATGTCATTGTTACGTCTCCAAGCTTCAATGTGGTTGTTTTCTTATCTTTTCGACGGTCATTCTTCCAAGCCTAAAGCTTCATTGAAGTGATAGTATTGTTATTTTATAGGCAATGTTTCATTTCTTGATAAAATGTATTAAAAAGAACACAGACTAAAATATGATATTTAGTGTTGTTATAAAGAATCCATTATCATAGTGAATTTACAATGTCAAATAAAATTGTAGTTGGATTAAAATAATACTTTTTTGAATGCGATTAAAATAATACTTTAGTGTTGTTGTAAATTTATAATAAAACTAGTGTTTATAAAATAAAATTGAATATCATGGCTCATACATTAAATGTATATTATTAAATGAAACTGTAAGTTGAATTAAAATGATTGCTGTAATGAAATTATTGTGTGTATAAAAGGAAACTAAATAGTAGGGCTCATACATTGAATGTATATTGTCAAATAAAACTGTAGTTGAATTAAAATGATATTTTAGTGTTGTTGTAATGAAACTATTGTATGTATAAAATGAAACTGAATAGCAAGTTTCATACATTGAATGTATATTATCAAATAAATTGTAGTTGAATTAAAATAATAATTTAGTGTTGCTATAACGAAACTATTGTGTGTATAAAATGAAGAGTTAATACCGGATTTGGTCCCTTGACTATGTACATTTACTTAAGGAATAAGGTTCAAATAGGTCACTGAACGTAATCTGAAAATGTAATTAGGCCCCTGAATAAAAAAAAAAGTGCAATTAGGTCACTGAACACTCCAAAAACGTGCATTTAAGCCACTGAACACTCAAAATGTATGCAATTTCATCGGATAGCAGGTTACCATCAATTTTAGCATGTTACTTGTTTACGTGGCAGTTGAGTTGACATTTTTAATAATTTTTAAACAATGTTTAATAATAAAATTTAAAAATAAATAAATAAAAAATAAAAAAGACGTAAGAAGGGGGGGGGGGGGGTGGGGGTGGGGAAAGGGGGTGGCGTCCAACGCGCGGCCAATGTGCGTTGGCCATTCACTTGACCGTTCCACGCGATCGTCCAACGCACGTTGGACCGTGCGTTTAACTTTCTGTTTCTTCTCAATGCACGTCCAACGTGCGTTGCTCCTTCTTGGCTCGGCTCTGGGATGTATGTTTCCTCATCTTACTTTGCTCCGGAATATGCCGCCACGTCTCCTTTTAGCTCAAACTTTCCTACAATGACTCAAAATGGCGCACAAATGATCATAATTAAGCTCAAATCACACCCCTAATAGACCTTAAACTATATGTCTTTGGCACTTATCATACGTGCTGCTGATCTCTCGCCTGAATTTTGGTGACTAAGCGTTTCACGGAGATCTCCTAGGGAAGCGCAACGATGACGACTATGTTTCCGTTAGCCACGTCGGCGGCGGCATGGCCGACGTTTTCCAAGTGCTGACAACGACGACTATGTTTCCGTTAGCCACGGCGACGGCGGCTTGGCCGGCGTTTTCCAAGTGTCTACTGCGTTTAGTTTGTGCCATTAATAAAGTTTAAAGACGGAACCTTTTGTATCGTTCCCCACGGATGATGCTAATGTTGGTTTTACGGCTTAGAGGCAGCCGGTCAGCAGACCAACACAACTGTAAAATACTACGTAAAAGAGGGAAAATATGCGAGGGAATAATGAAGCAAAATAACGTTAATTGTCTCGACACCACAACTCATATTGCAACACTTAAAGATATGAGGCCATTTTCAACTCGTGCCAAGGAGTATCTTGAAAGATATGAAGTCGTTTTGACTCATGCTAAGGAGCTTTGAAGTACATGAGGTCGTTTCAATTCATGCCAAGGAACCTTGATGGATATAAGGTCGTTTCAACTCGTGCCAAAGAGTCTAACTTGAAGGATATGTGGCCTTTTCGACTGGTGCCAAGGAGTACCTTCTAGCGTCATCCATCTCAAATTTCATACAGGGTTTGCCTCCATTTCGGTTGAAACGCATGTGCATATGAAGAGATGAGAGAAAGAACTATCCCACTGGGCGTGCCAATTTGTGAATAAAGAAAATTTAATTATATATATTGAAATTCAAAATTCTAGTTTACAAAGATTATAAATGTGGTGCGGGTACAAGATCTCTGTGTAGTCCTCTGATTCTTCACTTGGATGCCTTGAACACTCCATTGAAAGGCCTTCGAAACTCAAGTGGCTTGATCTTCGTTAAAGGGCCTCCAGATACAAATGACTTGATTTTCAATGGAGGTTTGGATTAATATGCTTGGTATGATCTTCATAAATGGGCTTTTATTTTTAGGATCATATTATGATCTCTGAATAAGCTTCAAAGCTTAGGATATTTCCCGGGTGTTTATAAGATGTGTTAGGATGTCTTCAGGATCTTCCTCAGAGCTCCTATTTATAGTTGTAGGATAGAAAGAGTTTGGATATGTTCAAACTCCTTTAAGATTATCTAATTAAACAAATTAGGTAATATCAATATTATTCAAAATATATTCAAATATTTTAATATTTAAAACTATTCATCCTTAACAAAGTTATAGTGTCAACCCTAGGGTTCATAATGATATGTGGACCCTGATCCATGATATAAATTGCCAAAATTTGCCTCGTCAATCATTATTCCATGGACCATGGTCCACATAGCTTTGGTCTACATTTCTAATATATTAAAAATACATTATTTAAAAGTACATTATTTGAGTATAGAAAGTACATTATTTTATATACTATCAAATAATGTATATTCGATACATAAATATTGTACTTTTGTTATATTAAAAATGTATCTTATATTGATGGTCAATGTTGGTCCGGAAGGGTTGGGGTACAAGTCTAGAGGGGGGAGTGAATAGACTTGTAAACTTTGAAAATTTTAATGTTTCGCTCAAATGATCCAAAGGATCATTTCATCACAAATTAACGATTCGTTAAGTATGCATAGCAAAAATAATTTAACATATTTTTTAAAAAGAAAATCTAGGTTTGTGGTCAAGATATTAATTTTAGTAACCTTGGATCTAATCAAATGCAAAAAACATGTGCAGTGGAAAATTAATAAAAGAAGACAATTAAAATGACTACCATACGATATACGTTCTCATATTCTTTCTTTCCACGATATACGTTCTCATATTCTCATGGATTCTAAGTTCATTTTCCTTCAATGATAGAGACATGAAACTAACCTTTCCTCTCAAGAGCACAATTTCAACAAAGTAGATTAGTGCTTTGCTATATTATATGGATTATGGAGTAACTTCCAAAAAAAAAAAAAAAAGTCTCCTTTTAATTAGATCATTTAAATTAAAACGATGAAAAATATTAATTACGTGAACTATAATTAATTTGAGAGTGAAAAATATATTGGTTAATTGATTTTCTTTAAATGTTATTCATAGTGAAAACTTTATATTGAAATTAATATAATATGATGTTACGATAATTAATTTTGGAGTGAAAAATATATTTCTCATTTATAACAAAAAAAATTATTTATAGAAAAAAATTTATATTGAAACTTGTATAATTAATACGATGTTACAATAATTTATATTTTTATTAAGAAAATATTGCACTTTTGCTCCTTTAGTTATTTTGAAGTTATAAATATCGCCCTTCATTTTTAATTGTTTAAAATTTGATCCTTTAATTGCTTATCATGTTCCAAATGTAGTCCTTCATCTACTATACCCATATAATTTCGTTTGAAAATATTTTACGAGGACATTTATGTAACTGACTAGCTCTTATAAAGAAAAATTATCATTGAATAATATATTCATATTTGATATAATTATAGTTCATTCGACACTAAATATTAAATTATGAATTTATGAGTTTTACCTGTAATTCGCATTATTTTAGCATATCAAATTGAGGTATTAGAATACTATATAGATCAAATAGACCAATTTGCCTGAAGGAGAAAAGTGGTGAAAATTAAAAAAAAAACCGTTAAAAAGTTATTAATATGTATTCATAAAATTTTACTTTCAAATAAATATGAATGACTCTATTAAATATAATAATAAATTTATAATTTAATTTAATAAATAATTAAATGACTAGATCTCAAAAAATTGAAAGTGAGAGAAGATATTTATAATTTATAAATAATTAAACTACTATACAT